ACCGGGCAGCTCAGAGAGGGAGAACAGGACAACAAACGAGAGGCTGTGACAAACTGTTTCGTCGGAATTTCACCGACTCGTCAGGAGGATATATATATATATATTGCCACAGAACTATTGACTAGGGGCGTAAGCACGTGAAGTAGAAGAAGAAATAAGATGAGCGAGAAAAGAAAAATGAAAGGACAGAGGCAGAGAGACAGACAAACTAGAATGGCACAAAACAGTGTCCTCTTCTTCTTGGTTTCACTGTATTCTTATTTCTTTCAGTGTTTTACAAAAAAAATTACAGTGAAAAAAGGATAAAAATAAAAAACAAAAACACATTGAAATCATCCAAGTAGCCTAGTAGGACCTAAGTAGGTAGGTGCATGGAACTGATCAGGAAAAAAAATCAGAGAATCCTTACATCGTAAGGGGGGGGCGCAGCGCGTCCGGGAGCGCTGCGCCGCCTGCACCGAAACTTGGCCCACAGGAGCGAGGTGGCTGCGGCCCGCAGAAGCGGCTGGAAAGGAGCGGGCGTAGGCTTCAGGACATGGCGGGACTGGCGTGAGGAGGCTTGTATCGATTGAGCGAGGAGCGGCGGCTTGGGGATCGACTTTGGTAGTGGATGGAGGGGCAAGATGGTGGTGGCGGCTGGCATGATGGGTATAGGGATGAAGGGGAGTGGTAGGATGGAAGGGTAAAGGAGGGAGTCGATCGTGGCGTGGAAGGAGGAGGAGGAGTGGCTATCTTTGAAGGGAAGGTATCTTTCGGTAGAGGAGGAGCATCCGGTGGGTTTAGTGGGAACGAAGTTACCTCTTCATTTCTCCGATCTGCCTGCGACGGGCGGCTGGCAGGCTCAGCTGTTGCGTTCGTGACGTGGCGTGGACTGCTGTGAGGTGATCCTAGCTACGGTCCGGTTATCTTCATCGTCCGGCTTTTTGGTGGGTAGTCGACCTATGAGCAGCCGGGTGCTTGACAGCCGATGAAGGCGAGAAGGTGAGGTTAGGAGAGGGGAGGGGTGTGTCCATGGTTGACAGGTGTTTTTCCTCTTACCTGTCCTGAAGCCCTGATTGTATAGGTCACTCACTTACTCCCAGTTACCATCCATCACAATTCTTTACTTCTGATTTCTTTTGTTAGTCCCTGGAGGCTTTCTAATTTGTCATCGTAGTTTGCTGTCCGATATTTTTTCGTAATAATAAGTTACACGGTCTATACTCAATAATCCTCAAACTGGATCAGCCTCGTCTTCATTTCTGATTCTTTTTGTCAGTCTTTAGAGGCTTTTTAATTCGCCATCGTACTTTGCCTTCCAATAATTTGACCTGGTTCCATGGGAAGACTGTGGAATGGTTTCGTGGTAAATTTTCCCATCATCAGCTACATGGTTTACACTAAATAATCCACTAAATAATCCACTAAATAATCCTCAAACTATGGTTTGAGGGCTAGCCTCGGAAATCCGTTGTTGGATACCTAAACCTGAAATTCGCATCTGTTTTCCCTACGTGTTTTCTCCTGATTCTATATGCCTAGTGGTACGTGCACTACTGTGGTCTGAGGATCACCCTCGATAATCTGTTTTGGATACCTAAAACCTGAATTTCGTATGTGGTTTTCTCATGTGTCTTTTCTAATGGTCTTTCCTAGTTATACTTGATCTTCTGCTCTTTTGTTGGAACTCTGATCTTCCTTTTTCTATTGCTGTAATGAGCTCAAATAATTGGTCCTAGCAAGGGTGTCTAAGTTTTCTTATGTAACTTTTTCGATTCCCTTAAGGAGGGGGCTGTATCGAGGGGGTAGGAGGATATGAAGGAGGGGAAGGACGCACTCTGTGGGAAGGGGCTAACCACAGAGTGGAATTAGGGCGCAGCAGCAGGGGAGATGGTGGCTCCACTGCAGTGAGTCTTGCCGGAGTAAGGTTGGATAGGGCAGGCGGTGGGCGGTACTAGCTCCTCTCCCTAGGGAGTCTCTCCTATTGAGACACTGTTCCTACGGGGGGATGGTTGCTCTGAGAGGGCTGCGGGGTAGAGGGGGAAGGGGCGGCAACTGAGGGGGGACTGTGGGTTTGGTAAGTACGTCAGAAGGAAGGGGCTGGGAYGACRCAGGCCGGTGCTGGAGTTCTTTGCTCTGTGACCCRGAGAGGAGCATGAGGCTTGGGGAGTTCTGTCGAGGGAGGAAGACAGAACCAGCACTTTCGACGTGGCCGCAGCTGGGGTCTATCCCTGTCACCTTTTGGGGTGTGCGGCTATGGGGAGTTGTCGAGGGAGGAAGGCACTCCTCACCATCTTCACTAGGTTGGTCGGTACAGGGGCTTGGTGGGGTCCTGTAACTCCAGCACGGGAGTGTATGAGACCAGCCGTGTGTCGTTTTGAGGACTGAACACGAGACCTGTAGTCTTTTCAATAGTTGCGGGGAGTGTGGGTGGCTTTGTTTGTGCAGTCCTTACTCTGGATCCGTGGTAGTTTTTAGCCCTTACTTGCAACTGGGGTGTAGGAGTTCAGAGAGGGTCACAACTGGGCTGACATCCTGCATAGTTCTTCTGTTCTGTGCCCCTGTTTTGCCGATGCCAGAACGACGCTGGCCGGAACTGGGGCGTCGCCCTGTGACCTGCAATTTGCAGGAGTCTGAGGCCTTGTAGAGAGAGATCTGGGGATTGTCGAGGGTGGAAGGCAATCCAGTGGCGAATCGGGGGGGGCTGCGTAGTGGCAAGAAGAGATCAGCTATGGGCGATGTTAGTATGGTTGGTACAGTCCCTGAGTAAGTACGTCCCAGGGAAAGGAAGGCTAGGAACTACTTTAGGAGTCTAGTTAAAAAAAAAAAAAAGATCTAAAAAAGTCTGCTGTTTTTTTTTTTTGGTTTTTTTTTTTTGGGTTACCAACAAGGGTTCTAAGAATGTTTTAGGAATCTGGGGACTTCTAATAACCTAGATTAGAGGATTCAGCACTAATGGGCTTAGTGACCTGCAGGGTGTTCGATGCCAGAACGATGCTGGCCGGTGCTGGGGTATTGCCCTGTAACCTGCGGGTGCAGGAGCGTGAGGCTTAGTAGAGATCTGGGAATGCTTTGGGGGGGCATTCTAAGGGACAACCAAGGGTTGCTGCTGAGACAACGCTGGTCGGTGCTGGGGTGAGTCGTGTCACCATGTAACTCAGCAGGGTGGGGGTGTGAGACCTGGAAGAGCTCAGCAGTGAGTTGTGTCAGTGTTGGAAAACTCAGATGGGTTGTTAGGGATTCGTAGGTCTCTGAACGTTTGTGGACCTCGGTGGTGGCTTCTTCATTTGTAGCAGACTGGTTTCTTGAAGCTTGTCGAAGTCATTTCTGAGTAGTCTAGAAGCTTTCATAGCTAATAGCCGGGTAACGGCTCCGGCATCTTAAAACTTTCATCTACGTCTTACCATTACGATTTCGGTTATCATCACAAGGGATGCTGAGCCCGGTTCTCAGCAAGTCTTTTAGGCTCCCTGTCTCATTTTCACAAAATTTTCTGATGAGGTTCTGATCGTATTCGCAATGGGACGCTGGGCCCGGTTCCCAGCTTGTACCAATTTGAGAGGACATGGTTGTATCTATGGGATGCTGGACCCGGTTTCCAGCAGGTGTTGCTCCCCACCAATAGATGGAGCTTGTTTTGTGAAAAAATAAAAAATAAAAAAAAAATCATTCAATTTCTCTGTCTTCTCAACTCCTCCTCCACCGTGCCTCTAACGAAGGCTCGCCACGTTGATGAAGTTGAGCGCGAGCTGCCCCCATCCCCGTATGCCATAACAGCCTCCTTGCACGCTATGGGAAAGAGGCAGAGTGAAGGAAGAGGTGTTAAACACAACGAAGAGAGGAGCAGAAAAATGTTGACACAACCATCTTCTTTCTTTTACTGCATTCTTTCACAGTTTTGCAGCTTTGGCGAAGAGTCTACCACGTTCGCTTTTCAGCGCACCTGCACTTCCTTCTTCACTTTTTACTCTTTTTTTTTTAATTTTTGTTATTTTTATTTGGACCATTTCTCGATTTATGCGTGTCATCCTTGCGCAGGGGCCATGCTTATCTTCTCTGTGTCGTTCCAATTTTAACGGATGTCATTTTCACCCTTCGGACTTTTTCTTTGAGGGTGTTAGGCTGCAGGGTACAAACAAAGTAAAATGACACAAACTTATGTTCTTCTTTTCCTGCATTCTTCACTGTTTTGCAGTTTTTTTTTAGTAAAGGGTCTCCCACCTTTGCACATTCTTGTACACTATACAGACAAATATACAAGCCTTCCCTGATTCTGAATTTCGAATCGTCGTTCAATCTCCGTCATCAACACCGAACAACAAGGATCTCTTCCCACTTGAGATTGTTGTTGTGGTTCTACACTCTTCCTCTGTATTTCTACTATTCCTCAATTTCTACTCCCACTAATCAGCTTCTTTTTGTTTGCCGCCCTTCGTTCTCTTTGGCTCTCTCCCCATCACCATGCAGATCCCGCTGTTCCACTGCTTCTCCTTGTCTTCAATTCCTCCTCCTCCTCCTCCTCCTCCTCCTCCTCCTCCTCCTCCTCCTCCTCTTCATGCTCCTATGTACAGTCTGCGTTCATCCTCGCCAGTTTAAAGTTTAAACTTTAAACTCATGATTCCTTGCCAGAGTTTGTCTTCACAATACTCATCAGGCAACCAAAGCCTTATCGATCGTTTCTTCTCTGGTCATCCAAGCTTCCCATACTTAGTGGCAACACTGGCAAGTTAGTGCCATTCAACCAAAACAAGATGAGACTTTGAGAAGTTTTGAGTTTCAACTTCAAAATGATTTACAAGTTGTTATAAACTTATAACCCCTCTGAAATTTTAATGCAGGTGGCTATGATTGCAGCCTTGAAAGTTTGCATTTGAATTGCATCATGACTTATTGATATGACAGATGTCACAGCCTGGAAAGGTGAAACTTCCCCACTGAGCAAAACATGTCAGCTGTGCGCGAGTCCACATCGAACCGTACGAGATCGTCACCCGAAGTGTTCGACGTCACCCGAAGTGTACGACGATCGTCTGCCTTTATTAAATGATTAAATGACCACTACCTGGGAGCGCCTCCGCCCTACGACTGGGCCGGATTTCCCGCCCGCCGATGGACTGACAGTAACCGCCGCTACAGCATCAGGCTCGACAGGAGGAGGTAAGGTGGTCTCGCACGTCAAGCTAAAAAAGAACGACAAAAGCAAGGTACCTAGATTGAAGCTCATTGCTCACCGTGAAGCTGCTACACTCTCCGACGGCCAGACCTCTTGATGCTTGATCGAAGCCCTGACAACCGAGAATTGCGACAAAAAAAAAAAGCAACAAAAAATTGATGACACTGGAATGGTTCAGTATGGACTCCGGAGTTTCAGTCAAACGGGAACCACTGATTTACAAATCTTATTAACAACAGAATTTAGCGAACGACGTCAAATATTGCTATGGATTGCTTTTTTTGCATCTTTTGCAGTGAAAGTACCTATGGTACCAGTTCATATTTGGTTACCTGAAGCTCATGTAGAAGCAGCCACCGATGGATCTGTTATCTTAGCGGGAATTCTCTTAAAATTGGGAACTTATGAAGCTCCAGTATGGTAACAGAAGGGTTTGCTGCGACACTCGCCAAGTGCCAACATTTGAATGTACGAGGACCAACACCGGGTCCAAACACATTCAGAATATATTCAGAATGTTGCCGTTTGGCGAGAGGCGCGCCGAGGCCCAGAGTTACCATGGAGTCAGTACGGTAACTAGACTCTTAACTACCCACAACTGGAAAGGGCCCTCCCCAACAGGTAATAGCCAAAGTAAAAAAGAAAACGAAAAAAAAAGGGAGGTAATAGTCAAAAGCCGAAAGGTTGGGGGGCACGGGGGAAACCAACTTCAACTTGAATCACAATAGTTGAGCTGAATACCGTCACGGTGGGCCTATTACAGGAGAACCAGGCCTTAGGAAATCAGTGGATAATCCTCTACTATGCGGTCCCGGCCAAATACCACAGGCCTTATCGTATGATGATCAAATATGTACATGGCCTGTCTACCGTCCTCACCTGGACAGAACATACAGTCATTACACCTAAACTTGGTGCAACTTTCAGTCTAGATACGGGGATACTGACAGCACATTCTATTCGGGTGAAGATGGTAGGGGTCATCCGGGTCGTTAAAGCACCTGAACATGGTCCTAGCCAAGTTGAGAGTCCAATTGAGCCTCTCCTAAGATTTCGGCGGCTACCACGCCGACCTTAAAATAAATCCACGGCCGCCGTCCTCCGAAAGAGGCCCGCCGCCGATCGCTGGCATGTACTGATGGCTTAGGGTATAGATTGATTATTCTCTTGAAGCTTGAAAGACCCCCATGCGTCGGCAAACGAAAAGACGATTCAAAGGAGGAGGGGGGCGGAGGGGGTGCACTTAATAGCCTTCGAGTTTGGCAGCAGAAATTTGTCAAAAACATGCGTTACGGAAGGAGGGTAAGGAAACAAAAGGGGGCAATTAAGGTATTGAGTACCATTGACTATTGACTCTTGAGTACCATTTACTATCGACTCTCGAGTATTGAGTCTTGACACTTGAAACATCAAGTTGGGACTTAAAGCTGAGGGTTTGAACTTTTAAAATTTAAACTACTAGTACCTTTGCCGCTTCAGAAATGTGGGAAAATGCCAGCTCCCGAAGAATTCGGAGGCCGGGCCCAACGACGGCTGCCATCGATAAATCTAATCGGCGACCGTCGTTTCGTTTCGGCCTCCTGAAAGGCCGGAGGCCCGCTATTTTCCGAACCGACAAAGGTACCTACCAGTAGTTTAAGACTTTATAAACCACCAGTACAAGTTAGAAACTTAAAGCCTGAGGGGGGTTAACGGTTTAAGCCATTAAACCACCAGTACACGCCCCAGCTATTTTGTTCGGATACAGCTGTAGATGCGGCACAACTTTTGGGGCTCAGCCTACTGGATCTGCCCATGGCTGGTGGCGCCTGCCAAAACGGGGGGAAAAAATTGCGCCGCGTCTGTTCACCTTTTTCTTTTTTTTGGCGCGCAGCACAAGTACGCTTTGGGGAAAAGAGGTCCGGATCTACTGGCGGTGGCGGTTTAGCTCAACTTATTAAGCTCTTCGAAGCATCTTACTTGGAATAGCGGGTTGCCCATCACGTCTCCAGCTCCGACTTCAAAAGAAATGGGTTCTTCAGAGGCGTAAAGTAGCTGCAAGAGGCAGATAGCACAATCAGAGAAAGCACCCTAAGACCTGCCGTCTTCCCCTGAATCGAACGTCCGGTCATCATACCTGTATTTCGGACAACTTTCAGCCTAGATACAGCGATAATGACCGTAAGTTCTATTGGGGGCAAGACGATAGGGCCTAAAAGCTTGAAAACTTAAATAGCCACACAAAAAGGGAAAGAAAAGGAAAAAACTTCAAAAAAGTTCAAAAAAGTTCAAAAAAGTTATAAAAGTATTAAAAGTTCAAAAAAGTTCAAAAAACAGATCAGCGGAAAATCCACAAAGTGCAGATTTAACTTCATTTAACTTGATTTAAGTCAAATGAAGCTGTAACATGTACGCAGGCGAAAAACAATAAATAATAATACTAGGCTACCAGCCGGCCCGTGCAAGGACCAAGGAAGGTCCCAGCAAAAACAAAAACAAAAACAAAAACACTTCCAAAAAATCCAAAAAACAACTATGTTATGCAGAAAAATAAACTGAACAACTTTTGCCTCAGGGTTACATCGAAATTCTTCACCAAATTTAACATAAAAAATAAATTTCAATTTTTTTTTTATTTTTTATTTTTTTTGGCCCGGCCGGGCAAGTGACCCCGGGCCACTCTGGTAGCCTAGTAATGATAATAATAAAAATTACCCAGGCAAAATAATTGAGGGAAAGATTCCGAAAAATATTATTATTATTATTTTTTTAACAAATCCAATAAGACAAAGAAATCAAATTGCAAGGGAAAATGAGCAATAGCAACAGAATTCCAGATTGCAATGAAAGCCCTCTCTCGCCACCCTCAACAATGTACTTGAAGCTCTTCCTCCTATCGGACTACACTTTCGGTTCTTGCTCGCCTTTTATATTGTTGCAAAGTTTGATTTTTTCTCTTCCCTCCCCTCCCCCCCACCCCCCCCCAACTCCTCCCCTCCCCTCCTCTCTCAATCTACATGTCGCCAATCAGCAAACAAACTTTCTCTAAGCTTTATCAACAATTAATAATGATTAATTTATTATTCAATTACATGACATGATCTTAACTTAGTCAGAACTGTAGAACATCATTGCATGCCCACTGCTTGCATGCATACCTAAGCCTCTAATTACATCCCTCCACATGAATAATACAGTTCGCAAGTTTTCACTATTGTGGTGGCAGTTGCATATTCCTCTTCCCCACCCCCAACCCGCCCACCCCGCCCCTCGCCCCCGGCCCCCCGCCGACCGAACCCCTTTCCCTTTGTAATGACCTGCAATTTCACAGACTGAATGACCTGCTGTTCTCTGAGTTTTGCCGCTGGACTGAGTGCCGTGCTCAGATTCCCGTATTCTGCTGAGATTTTTTCTAAGTACGCGTGTGCGCATGGTTGCTGAGTTTCCATATCTTTACCTGACTGCATGATTGCTTGGGTGTGCGTTTGACCCGCCAGGGTACTTGTGTGCCGGGAAGGCCCACGGGTCTGGCACATACCTGTGGGCATGCTGTTGTGAGGGTGCACCGGAAAATTAGAAGTAGGCTAGGCCCCTGTAGGGGTGGAAAACACTCAAGTAGTGGGTACTAGGTTGGCAGAAGAAGACAAAAAGTTAGTACCTTCATTACAGGCCAAAGCGAATTTTAGAAGTCCGGTAGGCTTAGAGTCTAGGGGTACTGTGTAGTGCATGGGACTCGTCACAATCCTGCAAGGGAAGAGAAAACATAGCATGTTTTAAAAGAGCTGTTGAGGTTTTTGCGTCGCCATCTTGATAAATAAAACACGACTGCGACTTTGCGACTTTGCAAAAAAAAAAAAAAAAAAAAAAAGGTTGCCCGAGAATACAGTGCGAACCCGCTGACATTTACAGAGTTGAACCTGTTCTGGCGAATTAGAGTCACGTTCGGAACAAAGCGTCCTTCCAGTAGTCTGGGGCGTGCGGAGGGGAATATCAGTCTGCAATGATGTCCCCTCCAATTTGTGGAGGTGTCAGTGGACTTGGGAGGCCATGCGTCCTCGAAGCCAATGCGCGAAGAGGCAATACTCTGGTCTATCTTCGCTGGAGGCAGGAGGCTCAGCCTCATTTTGCAGTGTGCAAGTTTGGTGACACACTGCTGGAGCGAGCTCTCACCAGAGCAGCACTGGGGATGAAGAAGGCGGCTTGGCCCTCCGCCTCAGCTATGGTGGAGAGGACCAAGGAGAAGCCCCGGGGGAAGGAGGAGGAGGAGGGGGAGGAAGACGGTGAACAAGGAGGAGAGTGACGAGGGAGCTTACCTGGCTATGGTAGTCTGCATCTTCATCTTCTTGGTTGGCGCTGCACCTGGAAGGTCCCTGTTGAGGGTTGGCACCTACAAGGAAGACTCCGGGGAGACTGCTAGGCTTGGCGGCCATATTAGGAGGGATAAATTAGCTTTGTAGTGTCCTTTGAACACTGGAACTTCATTCCGATAGTCCGCCATAGCCACCTTCTTGACCAAGTAGGAGAAAGGTGTATGAGATGGCTATGGTGGACCTCTTGAGTGGCTGGCGGGAAGGCGAGGATTCAAACATTGGTTCTGGTTCATTCTTTCATTGTTATTATTATTATTGTTAAGAAGAAGTTCGGGGAGTGATTGGAGGTTGTAGATGGTGAAGAGATAAAGGGGGATTGGCATTGGTCTTTGCTGGTGTTCATATTCAAAGTATCTGCCCCTCAGACTGGATCCCAAGGTCCCCATGATGGCCGGGAAACTTACATATACAGTACCCAGTTGCTCACCAGGGGGGTCCTGGGGCTGGGCAGACAAAGAGCACCTGGGCCATGCCTGTAGTCATCGGGACTGTTGCATAATGTTTGCAAACAAACTCCCCTCAGCAGGGTATTCTCCCCGCCAAGACCCATAAGATACCATCAACCCCAATCGTCCTATGACCAAGCTCCAGCATCATTTTACCTGATATTTCCCAAAATTCATGTACACATCACATTACCTACCCGGAAAGGACGGCTTGACCAGAGAATTCTGGATGGAATTTTGGCCAATCCTGGGGGATGAATATACAGCCTTCCTCAAACAGGCCTGGCAAAAGGAGGGGCTGGCGCCGGACCCGGCCACAGGCATAGTCACACTACTCTGCAAGAAGGGGAACCCAACAGATATCCGGAATTACAGGCCAAAAACTCTTCCCATGGCGACACACAAAATCGTAGCCAAGCCCCTAGCGAACAGACTCTGGGCAGTCACGGCGGGATGCTTCCATCTGGACCAGACTGGATTCATACCAGGACGTTTCATATCGGACTAGATGACCTGTTGCGGCTTCTCTAGCAAAAACAAACGCAACAGGTGATGCAGTAAAAAGGTGGAGGCAACCGAGGGATGCAAACTCTCTCTCTCTCTCTCTCTCTCTCTCTCTCTCTCTCTCTCTCTCTCTCTCTCTCTCTCTCTCTCTCTCTCTCTCTCTCTC